GGTCAGGCGCATGAAAGTCTTGTTCCAGTATTTGCACCTTTCTGAGACTGGCACGTTTGCTTGTATTGGTGAAATGGCCATTCCACTCTCCCTTGTCTTTGCCGGTTATGTTATCTGTCTATACTACCAGCTGCTACGGCTGTCAGGGCCTCTATCAAGACCCCAGGCAGAGGGGGACAGATGAGTTCCGTAAGCAGTCGGGTGAACGTTCATCAATGAGTGTGAATCAGACATGGCGGCTCCGGGTGCCCGAGCCCAATCCCGCCTCCTGTCTAATTGACTCTGGCTTGACACCGAACTCTGGCGGATAAGGGAAGAGAGAATGCTCGGTGTGCGCGTTGGATGATGCTTTGGCCTGTGCATTCTCCAAGTGGCGACTTGCTTTGGCCAAATTGAACCTCAGCACCGAATATGGAGTTGGCAGGTCGTTGCACCTGCTTATAGACTGGGGTCCGTGAGCCACGACTCAAGTAATCCGCGACTTACACAGTTGGCACCTCTCGCATGCATTTCGGCCTTATCAAAGTTGAATGTGTGGCCGGGTCTCGTTGACTGGTCCGTAACTTAAGAATTGGCGTCATTTCTCTGTACTGCATCTTGAGAACTTTTCCAGTTTCTCCGGCGTAGTTGTTTTGTCCGCAACTGCATCAGATCCTATAGACGACTCCAGATGTTTTTTTTGTCTTGGCAGTGGGTTTTTTTTTGGTTTCATTATCTGACGCCATATGGTTGCCTCTGGTCTGTGTGCAGTGTCCACTGAATTATTCAAATCTGTCAAATGCTCCGAATAATCCTCAAACCATTAGCGCACAAGCGGGCAATTATGCTTGATATGAGAGTCGTTAACTGTCATAAGTGTGCAGTATTTTAGTGACTGTGTTCTATAAATACTGCAACTCTCTGCATTTATTACCCGTTTCTGCTACTGTTTATGCTGATGTCTCTGATGAAGTACCGCGGTGGACTTCGGTAGGATTATGTCGTGGGGTCGTCTGGGGAAAGTGCGAAGCGCGCCCCGCGGGCTAAGGTTCATCTGATTTTCGGGGAGAGGCGGCCGGGGCATGTCAGGGAACAAATTAGATCCCAATACTTATGTT